AGGCATAGAATTTACGAGACAAATGCAAAAGTCTCAGAAAGAACCGGCCAAAATTTTTGTAAAACAATCGATTTAAAAAACTCTGAGGCTTTGACTTCGACGGTGGGACAATCGATCCCTCTACGATTCTTTCATTCGTTTCGATGGTAAATTGAGAGTAGCCTACGTTAAGAGACAGACCCGGCATCAGTCTGTTTGTAAAGAACCCTTGAAAGAGGAGGCCACCAACAGCCTCGCCAGCGGTGTTTGTTATTAGCAAGTACTGCCACTTTTCTACTGTTTGTAGGTGCGTTCGCCTCTTAAACAATATTTTGCTATACAGGGAATTGGTCTTTGATTTCTTTTTAAAACCGACTGAAACCAATTAAAACCGATTGATTTCTATTGAAATTAAAATGATTCAACGTACGGAACAGAAGAAGTCTGACTGATAAACAGCAAAAATTACTTTCAAATGAATTATCCAGCACAGCGTCCTCGATAACAACACCATTTCTCCTTCCCGATTCCTTTTCAATCGATACGAATAATTTCAACCCGCCTGGACCTTCGATTGTCCGGGTATTTTCCGGGAAATCGGACTTTTCTGCTGCTGACCTGAATCACATCGTATTTCAGAAAGAAAACACCGATAATTTCGTCATAAAGGAAGGGGCTGTGATGATAACACAACTAATATAATTGGCTAACGCACGGGCTGCCCATACGAAGATGCGTTTTTTGCATAGCTCCCCGCAGTTCCTGTCGCCACCGGCACCGGTTTTTTCGGCAAATGCTTCTAGCTAAACATATTAAGACTGGCCGCCAGAACTGTCAGGAAGCATCCCCTTAAAATTCCAGCTTTCTAGCTTTCCTGGCTCCTGAGTTAGCAACTTACTGGAAGAAAAATTTCACGAACCCGCACGTGGACACTACGCATATCCGAGGGCTGGGTTTGAGCTTATTAATACCTACTTGAATTGGGGACATTCCCCTAAGATTTCAGCATTCTAGCATCTCAGATCCCCGAGTTATAAACTTATCCAAAAAAATTTTGGCGGGTCCTTACTGGGTACCACCCGTGGGATGGGTTTGAGTACATTAACACTAAGTTGGACGGGGAACATCACGCTAAGATTTCAGCTTTCTAGCTTCTCAGATTCCCAAGTTATGAACATACCCGTAAAAAACTTCGGCGGGCCCTTATGTGTGTACCACGCAGGTAATAGCGTCCATTTTGGGGGTTGGGGTCCGTATGTGCATGCAGATCAAGTTCCCAAAGTTTCAGCCCTGCAGCTTTTATAGGTCTTGAGATGAAAAATCGGGACAGACGCGCACACAGACACAAGGACACACACACAACCCCTTGTCAATATACGTTTTTGCATTGCATAGCTGCAAAAGATGCATAAAAAGTATCAAGAATTATGACTATGACTACCCGAACTACTAGCACGGAGTTCTCAGACTTACTAATAAAACTTACCACTATCAGAGAAATTCATCAAAATTTCGTTAACTGAAAAAAAAATCTGCTGTTGAAGGATCAGTTCCAGAGTTCAGCATTCCATTTCAAAATAATTACTGAAACAACAAGGATAACCTCGGCTCGTCAGCTGTCGAGAGAGCTGCTCCGTCGACACTGTACTCTTCCTGTGTTACCGCTGAGAATGCAGGGTTTGTCGGAGTTGACGGCTTCGCCGGATCATCGTTCTCGGGAAGCAACTTTGGCGGTTCTTCAAGTTCGTCCTGCAAAAGTACCTGTCTTTCTAACAATACCAGTATCGTGCACTTTTCGAGAAGCCGAATAACATCGGAAGAGAACCGAGCAAGTTATACTGAGAATTTCGTACTTCCGTTGAAACTTCTGCTTAGCAAAATGAAAAGTTTTTAAAGTTCAACGTACTAGCAAGAGGAAGGAGATAACGTCCTTAATTTCTTAAAAAGCACTGAAATTGGCGCAAAAAGGCGAAAAACAACAGAAAACGAAGCTAAGGAAAGCAAATTTCGACGAAGCCTTTTTCAGCCCGAATTAGCCAAAAATACAGACTTCACCCGTTTCCACCACAATCAGAGACGCAAAAGTTTCACGCCTCTTCCCAACTGACCGAAATGGGAATTTATGCAAAAAAGATGTTAATATCAGTTAACAGATGCTAAAGTGCGCGAAAAAAAAAGTTGATCAAAAATGACCCCTCACCTTCCAGCGGATTTCCCAATAGCTTCTACAGCAACTTTAAACAGATGCATGCCCGAAAGTCAAAACCGTCATTCATAGGTAGATTCAAGGCGGCCTTTTAGAGAGTGGGTGGAACAGGGGGTAGGGGGCGACGACGGGGGAGCGAG